AGAGAATGGAGACAGAGAGAGATTGTCATCATCATCATGAACAATGACTCTCTGATAGAGGAGGCCTGTCGCTGGATTTTCAGCCCAGCTGAGGAGGGAGCGAGGAGGGAGGGCAGCCCCCCGCCTGCCCACCTGCCAGGGCCTCAGTCATGCTTTTAGCATCTGCCAAACTGAAGGACGCTTGGTGCCATGTGCTTTTCACTGAAGGAGCCTGACGTTTGTCAGTCACAGTGAGGGCTTCTGTTCTGTTTGGCCTCAGCCAAACAGGGTTTAATGTCGCCCCCACCCACCCCCCAGAATACACACACACACACACACACAAATACACACACCCACCCACCCCATGTAAACAATCCCAGTGTGTGTGATAAGTAAGCGGGACCCCGGCTCTGAAAGCTCCACATCCACTGCAGCTGTGGGCCAGCCAGCAGCTGACGCTGGGCTCTGGGTCTGTGCTGCCTTTTGCTTCCTTCCCCACCAACCCCACCTCCTCTTCTTCTATGTTTCCATGAAACAGACCTGTAATTTTCACAGCTGTGTCTCCGGCAGTGTGCCAGGGTGAGTCAGGGAAAGAGAGAGTGAGAGAGAGGGAGAAACGAGCAGCCATTAGGGCTTTTAGTGGAGTACAGGCTACAGCACAGCTTTGCTAATCCACTAAGACACTCAAGATTCAAAACCCGAAATATATTCAAACAATGGAGCTCCAACTGATCCAACTGCAAAACTCATTAGCATGACAAAACATACAAGCACAAAGTTCTACATATGATATGATAACCACAAATGATAAAACAGGTTTACATCTTGGGTCTTATTGTCATAGTTTTGGCCATCATATGTATTGGTTAGGATGATACTGTACTCCGCAATGAAGGGAGAAATCTAGCAGAACACCAACATCACTACAAAAAAAGTCAGATAATCAGACCGGTGGTAATGAGGTCAAGGGTTTAGTTAGGTTATCTAAACTGCACTCTGTTTGGAGGCAACCCAAAAGCGAGCGCACCTGAAATTAGGGTAATAATGGCAAATTGCAGGAAATCCTTTTTTTTTATTTGGCACGTTTTCACGCACAACTAAGTAAATACAGTAGGTCAAAGAAGTCAGTGAGTCTGTAAACTGTGATGCATGTTTACAATGGACAGTTTGGGTTAGCCGTAGTTTTCTCTTCCACTTAAGACTGACTAACCTGGGGGTTTATTGCCCTGTTGGACTCAATATTGCAATATTGCCACATCTCAACCAATGCAGGGAATATCAGACATCTGTCCCGAGGCTCAAAAACTCTTCCAGGAAGTTCCAGGAATCAACTGGTTTTATTGGGCTAATATAATTAATTAAAGTTTGTTTAGAAAAATGTATTAACAAAACACAATAAATGGCACGATAAGGGCATTAATGTGCACCGTGCGTCATCACCTGACTTTCAGGTGTGGGAAACACTGCAAAGTGAAAAATAACTCAATTTAAGAGAACATTAACTGTAGACAAAAACCTTAAGATTCAGAGTTTTTTTTTAAGCCAGAGTAGTGCCAGCTGGTCACCTTTTAAGACTGCTTGAAAACTCAACAGCCACAAGGTAGGCACAACCTGTATGTAGACTGAGAGGCACAATCCAGGGCAAAAGAAGTCCACAAAGCACTGGCAGCAGAGCTTATTGCTGCTCATTAAACTTATTGCTCGCTACGCAAAGTAATAATTGAAAGCAACTCAGATGAGCAAATCAATATTTTTCTCTCTCTCCTCATCCTGATGGAAGCCGGATTGTAAGAGCATGTTGTTCAGAGAATTTTCGGTAAGAAAACTAACGAGCTGCGAAAGTTGTTTCAGTTTTGTGCTTGTATGTTGACTGCTGAATGAATGTGGGAGGAATGGGGGTTTATTAAGGGCCCAGCACTTTGCCTCTGGGCCCCCTAAGAGGCTAATCACAGCAAATAACTTAGTGACTACAGTATAACACATTACAGTACAGACTACATTATAACCAATAGGAATAATGGCCACAATTACAAAAGTGACACCCAAGTTGTAATAAACCTGAATTATCCTTTGATCAGTAAGGAGACCTGAACAGCGAGGCACATTCTACAACATGCTTTAACGTATTTTTACTGAGGTGACACACGGGTTTCCCAATAATTTACAGCCCAGCAGCCCGGTGCGTGGCCATGTAAATCTTGCCCAAATGAAGCAATTTACTTTGGCTGATTTAAGTATCAGCAACCGACAGGAATAGGTTAAAAAGTTATTTGGTTAAACAAAAACAAAAAAAAAAGACCCACGGTAGCTTGCACTGACTGGCATCCAAAAAAAAGCACCAGGCCCAATGAGCAGTCTGTTAGATAATATTTAACATCACTCTGTGGGGCACAACAGTGACAAGTGTTTTGGAAAGAAGGGATGCGTCAGTGTGCTTTTCCAGTGCAACTTCCTGAACAATAAAGTCACTCATACTGGGTGTGATGTTGTTTTCACTTTGAGAAGATCTTTTCCTATACTAAAAAAAAATTCTTTATGCATTTAATTTATAACAACTACATGAACAATAAACCACAATGCGCTCTTTCTAATTACACTGTTGATAGCTATTCTATTAAATTCTCTGCAGAGAACATTTAGCCCGTATCTGAGCAGGAAGTATTTGTCTCTTTTTGGACGGCACGGAGGACAGTGTGTTTGGCTGACAGGAGGCACGTTCCCCTCCTCCTCTTCCTCCTCCTCCTCCTCCTCTCTACAGCCACAACATGACGCTTCTTCAGAAATAATGGGATTATGTCCATGATTGATATCCAGCTTTATGGCTCACGTGTGGGCACTGCACCTCTATTCAACATGCTGCTATGACAGGCCTGTCAAAGTAGGCTCTGGAGAACTGACTAGACACAAATCTACCACGACCTCCAGAACTGAAGCTCTATTGTCGGGCTTTTCTGTCCACAAGAGGCTTTACAAACACCATTATACTGAAGAACTCACTAGGCAACTTGTATGTCATGCATTATAACCCTGATGTCATGTCAAAGCCTGTATGTTTCAATGCCCTTTTACAGCACAGGGGATCAACTCTCCGCATATTAGATGCTGTTGAATCCAAATACGGCTGCAACTCACAGTCATCTTCATTAGCGATTAATCTGATGGTTATTTGATTAAACTAAGAATCATGTAATATATAAAAGGTGGTCAGAAAAAGTTAAAAATGTCCATGACAAATTCTCAGAGCCCAACAAAAGGTGGAAGAAGTACTCAGCTCCTTAACTTAAGTAAAAGTAACAATACAACAGTTTACAACCCCCACCCAGACACAGGCGTTTCCTTCTGGCAGAACGAAGCTGAATCTGGAGCTTTATATTTCTAGGACAGTGAACTTTCAAGAGATAAATCTACTGAAGAACACTGACGGATTTGCAGTCTTTACCAGTTTAAAGAGGCTAAAGTTTCAACACTACTATGTCTTCATCAGAGCCAAAAAAACACAAGGCAAAGACATGTCAACCTAGAACAGGAGTCAACTGTCACCGGATAACTGAAGAGGTAATGGAGGGCAACTGACTGACTTTTCGAAACAAATGATACAACTTACTAACAACTCATCTTTTCTTTCATTATGGAACAGCATTAAAAACCTTTTTTCACTTTCTAGAATTAACACTTTACAAGGGAAACAACAGCACTTTTAAGACTACAATCTATCAGCTTATCAGAGGGCTCTAAATACAGAATTCCAGTTAGTTAAGATGAACTAGTACCACTTCCTCATGGAGCACTTTGAGTATTCTCTCTGGCAGGCAGGGTCAAAAACATCTTTAAACAGCTAAATATTCCTCAAAAGTGACCCATCTCTGAATAATATCAACTCTGTGCCCTTGATCGCATTTGACTGGACTGGATAAAACCATCTAACACTGCCTCCTGGCCCTTGGAAGTATCAAAGTCCCATCTGCAAATTGTACTTTAAGTATCAAAAGTACTCATTATGCATGGATGTTTTATATTATTATACATCCTACTGTTGTATTATTATTACTGATGCATTAACACATGAGGAGTTTGTTATATCTGGTTGAACAGGAGCACATTTAAACTACTTTATCTCTTTGCTGTTACTGCTTGCAACTCATCAGATACACATCTGACACACGTAGACACCGCTTTCTGTAAGAAGTCACAAGTCAAAGAGGTCAGGATTAATTTTACATCTAATCTATACGTGTAGATGGTTTTAATTGTGAAATCTTATGAATGTTGTGGAGTAAAAAGTACAATATTTGCCTGGAGCATAAAGTAAAATGACCACAAAAGGAAAATATTCCAGTAAAGGAGAAGTGTGAGTTGCCTAAATGAAGCCCACTTAGTTACTTTCCACCACTACAAGTACAAGTACCTCAAAATGTACTTAGGCAGGCCTCCTTAACAAGTCCAAAAGCCAAATAAGCTATATTCAGTTTGTTATCATAGAAAACCTGTAAATATCCACATTTGAGTAAATATGTTTGCTTAAAAAGGCCACAAATAATGAATCAATCACCCAAAACTGTTCCTACTTCAGCTAATTGATAGATTAATCGGCCAATGACCCAGCTCCAGATCCAAAAGAAAAACAACCAGTAAAAGAGGAGCAGGAGCCTTTAAAGAGTCTCTACCAGTTGTTCCCGGTGGTACTGGCAGGCTAAAACTTCCTGCACTTATCGTTCATCTTCCATCAAACAACCCCGACTGTAACAGTAAACCTGCAAACACACAAACAGCAGAGAGAGAGAGACAGAGAGAGACAGAGACAGAGCCTCAAACTTGACTCGGACAGAAGCTGCTTGTGTGACATTTTCTGCGATCACGAGCCGCTGGAGCCGAGGCTCTGTGCACCAACACACACACAGACACACTGTGCCACCTGCACGACAGAGGGACCGAGATCTCCCCCCAAAAAAGTTTCAGCACCAAAACAAACACACACACACACACACACAACAACAAATGTCTGTGGCTGACATTATCCCAACCTGAGCTGTCTCTCACGGCTCGATCTTCTGTCCCGCCTGACACTTTCAGTTTTAGCCCCGGAGAGGCGATAAGAGTTGAAGGCTGCTGGGTCTTACCGCTTTTTGTAGACTGGGGGGGAAAAAAAACCCAAGAAGAGACGATCTGAAAAAGGGGGGAGAAAAGATCACTTCCACAGGGCGAGAGAGAGATGCGTCAGGTGTACGCTTCCCGCGAGTGAAGGAGGAAAACACAGTGGAAGGCGACTCATGTTGAGTTGAACGGCTGAAGCCCTGTCCTGTTTTTTTTTCCTTCTTCTTCAACTCCAAACTGCGCCGATCCGTGCGCTACGCGTAAAAAAAAAAAACCCCACCACAGTCGGTTCACTTTTAAACTACAATCCCGGGTTAGAAGGCGAAGCGAGGCTTGCTAAGCGACCAGCAAGCTCCTGCAAAACTACGGCTCCACTTCAGCGTGTTTTTACATAACAGCATCATCCGCTTTTTTATGTTGACGCATCATGTAGCGAAAACATGGAGTTTCTTAAAGGGCCACGGACGCGCCGTCCACATGTCACCGTCCCCCCCCCACAGCAGCAGCAGCCCCGCTGTGGCTGACAGATGGCTTTCACCTAGTTAATGTCTTTAAGCCCTGTTCTTTTGACACTTGTATTAACCCTGGCAGCAGTGGCTGAGAGAGCTGCTCGGCACTGAATGAAGGCTCTGTGGCTCATGACCAAAACCTGTTCCGACATGTGACTGCATGGTGCCCTCCTGATGATGCAGGGGACTTTGTTGTCTCTTTTATGTGACTTTTCTCTTTAATCCAGTGGCCCTTTAATGTAGTGGAGCCTTGGATTTTCACTTTATGGGTTTATTTTGTACAAAAGTGCAGAAATTGGTCCTCACGTTCAGTCTAGTAACACAGTTCAGTTCACCAAAATAAAATAAAACGACAATAAAGGCTTATGCATTTCATACCCGATTAAGGGAAACCTCATTATTAATATTCCTGTATGAAATGGAGACCTCTGCAATATAAACAATCATCTGACGGACATATTACATGATTGAAACCCACACTAATCTCAGACAGGTGCTGATACAACACATGTTTGCATACATTAACATTTAGTCTGCAGACAGAAAAACTACAGCAATACTCTTCTCCTGGCTCTTTTATAAAAGAATATTAATTATCTTGGTTGGAACTTACTGTTTTATTAGTGTTAATAATTTTATACTGCTTCATAGATAAGCAATGAGCTATTAACAGAGGCACAACTCTGGGTTGCCAGGTTGTGGAAAATCCATTCTAGTTGAAAATAATACTGCAATACATGTTGGTAATCTCATAAAAAATTCTTGCCCTTCTCAGTTTATAACAAGCCATCACATCTGCACTTAAGGTGTAAAATATCTAATCTTTTGTTAATAAATTGATGTTAGTCCAAGGATGTGGTCCAACCCATAACTAATAATGGCGTGTAATTGTTCTGAAGCTTTAGGAAATGGTTTATTAACCATTAATGAAGCCATTATAATTACCGTTTATAGATCCTTTAGAATGGATGCATTGTTATAATTAGGTAGCCTACCATAATCACGCATTAATTTATTAATTGTCAATTTGCGATCATGATGCAGTAGTAATAAGAACTGTCTGAGTTGACAGATTTCAAAGATACCTTTGTTTCTTCATTAATCAGAAAAGACCCCTCCCATGGCCTTCTTTGACCCCTGCATTTGTAAAACAAGATTATGCAATAAACATGTATTAACGACTCATTTTAACTTCAAGACTTAATGCTTACTGTAAAGAGGAAAACCACTTACTTGACAATAAGGCATTCAGTTTGCACGTCTCCCCTGAAGGGAGGAGCCCTTCCTGCTTAATAAAGAGCCAAAACACACTCCACTGACAGAAGTTACACAGCAGCTTCCTTCACAAAGATGTGGACTATGCATTATCAGCACTTACCACTGATCTATGAAGCATTCAGTGATTGATTAACCCTTCAGAAATAAGCTAGTGACCACTTATAAATCCTTTACTAGAAGGTTGTACGACCTAATCTGTTTTTAAGCGTACATTTTAATTAACATAAATATATCAGCAAAGCTATACACAATAAATGAATATATACTGGACATATAACTATAGTGATTCATTCTGATAAATAATTTTAAAAAAAGACAATTTTCCATTTTACACATATGAATTATAGTTTATACCTTTGCTGCCTTTACTTCCTCATTAGTTTGAATTTTGCTCTCTAGACTGTCATCAGCCTCTCATGTTCAGCAGAAGCCACAACCATTGAAATAAAAACTCTTCTCTTACAGACCTGAGTATTTTTTCCAAATCTGAGTTTACAAACACGGACATACACGGTGGTGGTAAATACTACTAAAAGTGCTGTACTTAACTTGTACAAAATTTTGAGGTACTTGTACTCTATTTAGATAATTACCACTCTATGCTGCTTTATATCTCTACTCCTGTACATCTTACAGGGAAATACTGTACTTTTATTTAAATACATCTCCTCACAACGAGTTACTTATTTCTTTGCAGATTAAGATTTAACATACAAAGCTTGTGATCAGATTAAAAATATGATGCAATAGATAATTAGTTACAGTTATCTACATCTAGAGAAACTGCAACATTAAAGTAACTCTTAAATGTTTATGCATCAATAAAAATAATAAAAATAAGCTATTTAGCAAAATCACACTTTTACTTTTGACACTGCAGCTTTTTCAGCTTTTATGCCTTTATTTGATAGGACAGCTGGAGACAGACAGGAAAGGGGGGCAGAGAGAGGGGATGACACGCAGCAAAGGGGCACCCACCAAGGTCAGATATTGACGACCCTGGGCCGCTTGCAACAAGGACTCAGCCTTGGTACATGGGTCGCCAGCTCTACCCACTGAGCTAACTGGGGGCCCCACATTTTGCTGCTTCTGTACCCTTTTTTAAGATAACATTTTAAATGCAGGACTTTTATTTGTAGTTCATAATGTGTTTTTATGAACACAAGGAAGTTTAATTTTGTGTTGATTGTGGCAGACCCTGTGGACAAAAGCGGCAAAAAGTGTTTCTACTGCCTCATTTCATTGATTACAATGGGAATCTGACCGAATGCAACCCGATGAATCTAAACATTTTATAGCAGTCCAGCTACTCGAGTGTGTTACAGATAATCATGTTTAAACCTGACTTGTTTCCTGTAAAGGGGGAAAATCCACCCTGACAAAGAAATCCCATGTATTATTCAAAAGCAGTGGGATAGTTCAATCACTGTCTGAGCTACTGTCTTCCCTTTGGCCTTACTAGAAACAGGGAGCTCAATGTTCAGTGGGTACAGAAGGACCATAGAAAACATGTATGTGTTGTTTACAGTGTTATTTGTTATTTGATTACATCTGAACACATAAATGTATTTCAGGACAAGCACAGTTATCTCTGATTACAGTCAAAGGAGAAGTTTTTTTTCCTTTCTGTGGTGAGCTGAAAAAGCATCTTCAGATCTGAAATGCCACTCTTTCATCTCCACTGGAGGGTTAAGAAATAAAACAACCAACTCAGAATACTGTTAATCCTTCAGCTCAGTGCTCGGTGGTTTTATCACAGAGAGCCAAGAACGACACACAGCGGAGCGATAGCAGGCAGTATCAAAGTCCAACCGAACAATCTTCTGCACATCAATCAGCCGGAGTCCCAGAAGCTGACAGAGATGAAATGACAGTAGATGGATTGGAGGCAATAAGCTGACGATCCATCATCTGAACGGGTGATGGACAGAGAAGTTTCAGCAGCAGGTTACTGACAGCAGGATTAGAAAGGAGCAGGTCATTGAAGTTTGAGAAAAGAAGAATGATTCTTGACTTCATAAAAGTAATGCTTATTTAAAGTTTATTTTATATTACACATTCAGTGTGGGAAAGTAACACAGGACAAGTATTATTACTCAATAGTTTTGAGGTATTTACTTCACTTAATGTCTTACGTTATTCTTATACTCCACAACAATTCAGAGGCAAACAATGTATTGTTTACGTTGATTAAATTATTTAAGCAGCTATACATAGTATGGATGGAGCTTTAATGAGAGATTTTATATTTTATAATATATGATTTGTTTAGAAAATATTCTGTATATTATGACTATAGAATGCTCCTTACATAGTAATGATAAAAAATATAACATACTGTATACAAAGTGTGAAATGAGCATAATGACTGATTTTTGCATCTAATACATGTGCACTTTTACTTTTTTACATGCAGTAATTCTACTAGAGTTTAATTACACAGCATGATTTCACTTTAGTAAGAATCTGAATATTTCTTTTGCCATTTGTCAATCATTCTGTGTAAACACAAAATCCATTATTATTAACAATAATTGCATTGAACTCTGCACAGACACAAGTTTTCATGAAAAGTGCTTTAACCTTGAGAAGCGTAGAAGCTTTGTACATTGAAAAAATGAAACACTTGCTGTGGATAATGTTTTTTTAATATGAGTTTAGTGTACGCACCAACATTAAAAATCATAGTGTTACTTTGTTGTGTTGCATGTTGGCAGTACCTGATGAAAAACGAAGGAGCTGATGTATAAGCAAGTGATAAAAGATGTTAGTTCAGTGATTTAGTATTGCACCTCCATTAGGTTGGAGGACTCACAAAAGAAGATACATTTTTCTTTTAAAAGGTCACAATCAAAGATATCTTGATGTTTAATCCCTTATGTGGGGCAAGGTCCAAAAATGCAAGATCCTACATTTCCCATAATTCAACCAACAGCCACAATGGCCACATCAAACTCAGGTCTGTAACAGATTAATTATAAAACTGTAGTCACAAAGCCCTAGTCAAGATAACCTGCTGATGGGGGGTGGTCAGGTTAAATTAATAAGTTATTAATAGGCTGAGTAGCAGCCCCTATATATTCTTGAAATGTAGCTTTAACTAAATTAACAAATGATCAACATGAAGAATTGAAGTCTAGAAATAAAAAGTTTATTTTTATTTATTTCATACATTTTCACACTGTACATCTACATCCTGACACCTATAGTCCTCTGGAGAAAAGACAGACACATATTTAGGAGCGTTTCTCCAGCTGGACTGTACAGACAGAATACAATAGAGGAATATGTTTGCTCCCAAAAATGAACAAACCTTTTTTTTTTTAATTTAATGCTAATTCTCTACAACATAATACTCAAGACATCAACTATTATTGATCATAAAATCAGAATCAGTTTGCATTGAGATCAGGAAAGGGAAGTTACATACAAAAAAACTCAAAGTATAATCATGACTTTTTTGTAATACACTGTAGAAATATTCACTGTTAAGGCCATCACTGGATGTACTCAGGTTATTTATTTAGGTCATTAGCTTCAAATACATCAGCTCATCTTATATAATAATGGTTCAGTATTCAGAATTCATTCTTATAACCCTTGAAACCCCAACGTGCTTAATTCAGAATATTGATGCCAAAACTCTTGCCAACAGCAGTTTTGGAGCTCTGGTTGGAGTGTTCAAGACAACACGAAAATCAGTGTTCATCACAAGAGGCCTAAATAAACTATAATGAAATGAAAATGTATTGACTGGTTCACAACTGCATTACACATTTCCAAAAACAAATTTAATTTAATCACACAAGAGGCCTATTTATAAGGTTCAATAATTATAATTATATTGCTTTATTGGCCTTTCAGTGGTTATCAAGTCACTGCAACTGAAACCAGCCAGCCTAATATGAGAAACAAAATGACATCAAGGCCCCCGTAACATACTAAATCAACATTTCATTTGTTTTACCTGTCAGCTTGTAACATCACAGTCAACTGATTTCATGTTTTATATCTATGAATTATAAAATGCCAATTATTCTGACACGTGATAATCCAACAGCAGCAACAGTTCATACAGTATAAGGCTCTGGGTGTGAGTAACTGCGTTCATCCACAACAAACCACTCGTACAGTCTTTAGTGCCGTTTCTCAGTTCTGATTATTTGTACATGGCATTGAAAGATCTCCCAATGATGAGCCGGCGAATTTCGCTTGTGCCTGCGCCGATTTCATACAGCTTTGCATCACGCAAGAATCGCCCCATGGGGTAGTCGTTGATGTAGCCATTCCCACCTGTTGACAAGTGAACATGTGAATTAAAGTAAGTGTGCAGAAACAGCAACCCAGCAGGTACAACGCACAAACTGCACACGTATTACATTTATATTTGTCTACTAAATAGGTCGCTGAACCCTTTAATCAGTTGCTACTGATAAAACTTTTGTTTTACATGGCTCAATCAACAAATGTATTTTACACCTGGAGTATAATTTAAAAATATCATACATTATCAAAAGCCTTAATTAATCTGAACACTGTATATTGAGGGTCCAAAATTAACACCCGCCAAGCCCAAATACCAGTATTTTGAGTTTGGCTGGAAAATAAATTAGAGTCACCAGCCAGATGGCCGGTAAATAACTAGGAATCACAGCCGAGGGCCAGATTTACATCACTGTGTTTTCCATGTGTAACGGCTGAGACTTACGTGGCCCTCACTGTCCATCGTACCTATTGTGATGTCAGTGAATCAAATCAAAGCAGTTTACTACTATTTTGCATTTCCTACACAATGCTGGTCTACTTTTTTGCCATCAGAAGCATCTGTGTTACATGTTATTAGAAGTATCTGTGTTAAGCCACCAGAAAGAAAACATGAAGACAAAGAGAAAAGTCAGCGCTTTTGTAAGAGGTGGAGGACTACAATGTGAATCGGTTTAAAACTTTAAAAATGTCTAAACTTAATTCACACTTAATTAACACAGTCATTTGTTTAAATCTATAAATGCAACAGGCGATATAACCTGAACACAAAGAAGAAAATTCTTTCCAGCCATGCAAATGAAGGTAACAAACTGCATGCAGTCTGTCTGGAGAGCAATTTATGACAAACATTCTCATCAAAATGAAGCTTGAATATAAGAAGCTCGGTCAGGAAGACTTCTCCTCTTTCTCCTCTACACCTTCATTCATTGCTTTCACTAAGCCACACCTCTTGGTGCCACTCCATCCATGGATAACATTTACAGTGTACAGTATTTTCCCACTTCCCTCTCTATCATCCTTTTAGTGTCACACCGAACAGGTAACTCCACGTTCACACTACGCAGTACAGTAAGTCTCCTCTCTCTCTCTTGAACACACTGCAGCCATTCATTAGTCAGCCTGCTATTTATTTAAAAAAGTAGCTGCACTTGTAGAGCAATGCTTTCAGCTCCTGATAACGATGTTAACATCAAACTGTCACAACATGTACATCCGAAAATAAAATCCCAGATGAAGTTTTCACCAGAACCCTATCTCTATGTTGCATCGGTTTTTGGTCTATAAACAAGATTTTCCTGACGGTATTAAATGAATTCCAACAAGCTTTCCTATACTGATATAATCTTAACGGTTTCCTTTTGAGGTTCAGGGCACTCACCCAAACACTGAATCCCATCCAAAGCAACCTGAGTGGCGTTCTCTGCACAATACAGGATCACACCAGCACAGTCCTGCAAAGACAACACAAGTCAACAGTCAGTGTGTGACAGTTTAGAAAGCAGACTTAGGCAGTGGAAGTCTTGTAGGAGTGCAAAAAGTTTTATGAAATAATAAAACATCTTTTACTCAAATTGACACTCTTTCTCTAAACTGGGTGCTGTAGGAGAATGTCATCATCACCATTGCACTATAGTGTCCTTTGTCACAAGCCCGGGCAACGTTGTACACATACTGCCGACAGCAGCTCAGCCTGGTGTACATGTCGGCCATCTTGCCTTGCATCAGCTGCAAACGAATGAACATAAAATGTTAATTTCACATCAAGTCAAATTACTCTAAAAGTATGACATTTTACAGAGCTTTCAGTAAGTAAAGAATAAAGATCTAACCTGAAATTGTCCGATTTTCTGTCCGAACGCTTCTCTGACGTGTAGGTAGGGAACAGCAAAGTCCAACACAGACTGCATGATGCTGAATAGTAAGAATGATGTTGAAAACAAAAAGTCATGTTTCATAGGATTATTCAACGACAAACACAATAGAAAAAAGTCATTCATGTTGATGTCTTTCATGTTGTTTCTTTGAAACTGCTTTTCTGTTGCAAATATCAAAACATTTTATTTTCAATTCTTACTGAATAATAATAAGCATCACAGTAATAATAATAATAATCATAATAGGCTCAATACAATTTAAACATGGCTTTGCGAAGTAAACGTGTCACTAGTTGTTTTGGCGGCAGGCAGTTTTGAAGTACAACATTCTAAACCAAAGGTCAGATTGATAAGCAGTTACTTAAGGAAATGAATATGAGTTGATAAAACAGTATGCAAAGCAGTTACTAAATGTGTACAAATATGCCCCACCATAAAACATTGTATGTATTATTTCCATCTTGAAATATGTACTTCTCATTTTCTTAAACAGTTTTAATTTTATTTCCAGTATGAACTTACCCAATAGGTCCTGCTGACAGTACCAGCCTCTCCAGATCTAAGCCGCTCATCATCACATAAACACCTTTATTCAACGGGCCAAGGATGTTCTCCTCTACAATAAACAAAAACATTAAACAAAATTAAACTGAAGGCATACAGGGCCTAATAAAAGAGATCACACAACACACAGTGAATATATGGCAGTGTGTAATAGGGTCGACCAATATGTTAAAATTTTCCAACCGGCCACCGCCAGTCCGACAGGTGTTGATTGCCGATATGCACGTGTGTGCTGCGTTAGTGCCCGCGCCTCCCCCCAATCACGTGCAACAAGCTCTCATAGCTTTAATAAACAATATAAACTCATCAAATGACAAGAAAGGAAAAAAAAAAAAAACTATTTTCCTCTAAACAGAAAAATACAACTGTACACCTTCTGAGTTCAAGTTTCTCTCACGTTGTTATTGTATTCCCTGTTGTTAAACTAGTCAAAATAAACCCTTCATTCACTGCAGTTAGATTTGACAGTGGCTCAAAAGCTGTTTCTCCTCTCACTCGTTCTTGGGCTCAGTGCGTGCTACACTGCTGAGCAGCAGCTCTCATTCTTCAGAGGCAGGACAAAATAAAATGCCATATATGTATTCATCGCACAACCATATCGTGCACTTAACACACACCTGGGATTTTGCAGTCTTCAAAGATCAGCTCACAGGTGTTTGATCCCCTCATGCCAAGTTTGTCAAGCTTCTGTGCTGTAGAGAAACCTGGCATTCCCTACAAAACACACATACATATATGCACAAGAAAGGCCATTTCTTTTAATCGCAGATTCTTGTTCCTCTCACATAATTTTGGTTCACATTCATTCAACAAAATGCAAGGCTGATCCCCAGAACAGACTGAAACACATGTAAACCCACCACATCCCAAGGAGGAGACTGAATTTACCTTTTCAACAATGAAAGCTGTGATGCCTCTTTGATGGGCCTCAGGATCTGTCTTTGCATAAACAATAAGGACGTCGGCATCTGGTCCATTTGTTATCCAGAACTTGTTGCCATTCAGAATATAGTAGTCACCTGTAGAAAAACATAATAGAAATGAAGTGGATCTAAAGCAGAGCTAGGCAGCAGCCTTAGGATTTTAAAAACACTTATCTGGATGCATGTTTAAATCTTGAATGAGCACACATGGTTATTCATAGGTTCAACGAGACAGGGTGTGAGTGCAGACCTGGGAGTGTGGCTACCTAATAGCTACCTTCTCATACACATTACAAACCACCATATTTTCAGACAGCTCAACAATAAATTCTCTCATCCTGGAATCATCTCAGTCTCTCTGGTTAAACCAGTACAAACCGAACACTCTACTACTCTATCATTAGCCTTGCAACCAACAATGGTTTCAAAATCCATATTTAAAAAGGCATGAAGCAAGATGCAGCCACCAATCGATCACACCCGTGAGCTGACTGAACTCACTCAGTGGTTTATCTGTAAAAGCACACAGCAGCTTTTTTCCCCATTTCTGTGAACATGTGTACCGTCTACAGGTGGTATTATATTTTCTGCTTAGATATTGTCAGTTATTTGAGAAACCATACAGGGAACTGATAATGTTTTTGTGGCGGCCTACCAGTACAGTTTGTGTGATTCCTCTCTTCATATCTTTTTGCCTTTAAACATGCAAAACATTTGACCACTTGGGGGCAGCGTAAAGAGGTTTTTGTAACACAGCATTGACACATCACTACATTAGCATTTATTTTAAGTTTTATTTCTGACCACCTGATGGACCCAAATCCAATGTTCACTTCTTTTTAGCTCTGGTTTTGGTCTCTTAAGGTGGACACATCTGGCTCTTTAGCTGCTAAATTCTCTAATATGTTCACCAGCTAGTCGCTAACTGTCTGTTTGCTGTTTGGCGTAGAGCAGATAGTGTACAGTGGATTTATAGAGCTGTTTTGCTGAAAACTTTGCCATGTGTGGTTGAACCAAAACAGTACATTTACAGACAGACAGATTAACAATGAGCTGAAACTCACTATAAAAGCATCATAAAGACGAGGGGAAATGCAGATACAGGTGATAATTCTCTGTAGGTTCATCACTACGAACGACTCCTTTCACATTGTCTTCACTTTATTTGATACATTAAAGTAAAATATGGGTTATAGCCAGTGCAGTGGTCATAAATGTTCACACTTTTCCTGTTTGTTTATTTGTATTCATACATTTTTTGGCATTGGCCCATTTCTGTGCTTTAAGCCATTTTTGTTCTTTTTCTGGTTTCAACCCTCTCTCTCCACCCAGTGCAGCAGTATGTGGGAATCACAGACTCTGAGTTTTAGAAGAAAATACAAACTGCTGATCTCTTCTGAGCAGAATGAGCCAAACCGGGTACTTATCTATGCTCCCAGGTGCAGTTCCAAAACTTGTAAAATGACTACATCCATCTCAAAAATGTGGATTAATACAGACGAGATTTCCGATCCTAGTTTCACCGTATCCAGAGACCAATCTTTATGATCGTTTATTAGGTGAGAGATATGGCTTTAAAAATAGACTGTAAGCAAAATGAAAAAATTATAATAAATATCTGAAATTAAAAGATTATGAACTTAGTTATGACGGCATCACTGAATGTGTCAATTTGCAGAACAAGACAAAAACAGAGGCAAGTCCTCCCACTGAGTCAAAACAATGATTAATGATTGGAGATGCTATGTGTGTGAACATACTCAGTCTAGAGAATACAGAATTTAAGCATATGGTCAACGTGCTTGACCCCAGACCAAAAATATACCGAACAGTGACCCCAAAAACCGAGGTACATACTGAAGTGTGAATTTTGTGTATCGTTACACCCCTACTCTTTACATATATCCACTGCTCACACTAACAGTCTGTCCACCCAGCACACACACCCCACCTTGCTGAGTCAGGGTTACTTGCAAATGTAATATTCAGCGTGAAAAGGCCGACAGTGTTTTTGTCAAAACCTGAGTCAGTTAAATCCCCAAGAAATGACTAATTGATCGTATTGATCAAAAGCAGAGCAACCAGAGCAGACCAGGCAATATTAAAAAAATGCACAATATAGAATAACTTTAGCATTTAGCACTGATGGAGAGGAATAAATCACACCCTACCTTTCTTCTTGGCTTTGAGTTTCATGGCTACGACATCAGAGCCAGCATTGGGCTCACTCATGGCCAGGGCTCCTACATGCTCTCCTGTCATTAACTGGCAACAAGAAAGACCATGATGAGAATGAAGAACAGAATCCATTTTAGTTTATGGTTTTATGTTATGTTTATAACATAAAGCATGAGCTTTATGTTTTGGTCCTGACCTTTGGCATGTACTTCTCCTTCTGTTTCTCGTTGGCGTGGCGTACCATCTGGTTGACACAGAGGTTAGAGTGGGCGCCGTAACTGAGAGCGATGGCTGCCGACACTCGTGACATCTCCTCCATCACAATGACATGGTCGAGGTAGCCCAATCCTGTGCCCCCATATTCCACTGAAAGAGATATAGAGTTGTTTTTTTCAAGCTTTTAATCCATACTGTGATAAAACAGATAAACATGAAGAAATTTACTACTGGAATTTACAAAAATTGCTTTTGCATTTGAACCAGTCCAATAGAAATACTTTGACGCATATAGTGACTGTTTTTTCCTCCAGGTGTCTTACCTGGAGCAGTGATCCCAAGGAGTCCCATCTCCCCCATGTCTTTCCAGAAATCCTGGTGGAGAGACATTATAAGAAGCTATCGAAACAGAAATCCTGCTCTTGTTTGATGGTAAATTTTACATGTGGAAAGACTTCCATATGAGATTGCAGCCCAGCAGAAGGAGTGGATCACGTTCATGACAATGCAGTTCAGAGAACTACAAGTATGTGCAAAATATAGTGTTTGAACTCACCCGCAGTCCTGGAAATTCGTTATTCTTGTCGATCTCATCAGCGTAAGGTGCAAGTTTGTCTGCACAGAATTTACGAACCGACTGCCTGAGCTGTGCAAAAGACACAATGCAAGCAACAGACTTTAAAATAACTGACTCAGCATCATTATTACACTAAAAGCACTGAAAATCAACAGTCTGGCATTAGTGTCCATTTCCTCCTTCATTTGACGGCAGACTGAGATGCTCATACAGTCATATCTATAAGCAAGTATAGACAAGTGTGCTGTTTGGATTTACAGATTGGATTCTAAAGATATTTAACAACCGTGCATGAATCTGTTAACTGTTAACTTACATCACAGGTCTATTCAACCTCATAAAGGCCAGTACTGGAGGAGAGCCACTTTCACCCAATCAAATCCTTTATATGAACCACGCCCCCAGCCCTCCTCCCAGCCAGCGTCCAGTCCATTCTGCACCACTGACCTGATGTCACCTTGGCTTAAATGGCTAAATCTTGATTGGAAAGCATGTTTGAGTGAGCTTTTCTACCCTCACCCCCTTTCTATAGACAACAACATAGCTTGTAACGTTAGAACCATCAGGGCTGACAGGGGTAAATAAATAAAGCTGGTTGAGCTCATAGAGCTTCCCCTAGAAAATGACCAGTGCCACCTGCTTTAGTAGTTAAGACAAGTGCAAACAACATTAATGTAAACTATATGAAGTAGCTGTCGACTGTCTGCTATGTGGTTAGCAGGGTCGGCTAATACCAAGGTCTTCTTCAGCTAACATTATGTCATAACGTCACGTGCACATCATCCTTAAATAACCGCTTTGTTTTCTCTGTTAAACGTATTAAATTGAACAGAACTTCAGCTTTGTTTACGTGACTCCATGGCTACTTTATTTTATTGTTTATTTTGTGTTTATCCGCACAGATGAGTGAGCTTCGTGTCGCCTGTTAGCTGACCTGTATCTGGTCGTCGGTCAGTCCGTTCACCACGTCGTCCACCGGGATGGACGCTCCGGCGCATCCTCTCCTCGCCACCGCGGGGACGGACAACCTGGAGCCGAGGCGGAGAGCGTTTCTGACCGCGAACATGGTGCTTCTTCTTGGAGACGGGTAGAAAAGTTGTCAGACTGCGGGCTAGCTGTCTCTTTAGCAGAGAGAAGCTAAGAGGTCTCACTCTGCCACTATTTCCCAGTACTTTCTTTTTCTTTCGGCGCATTAACGCCACCTAGTGGACTGGGGGTTGACAGTAACAGGCGCACACCAGTTTGCATAATGACCCCTGTTCTTTTTACTGCTACAGTTTATTCAGATTTAATAAATTAGGAATATGCAGCATACACGTAGCCTACAAAAATTAAATAATGATCATTTCTTATATTTTTTTTGACATTTCAATTAAATCAGCTGTGAGAAATTAGTTTTATGGCATAAATGGAAGGTTGCTTTATTTGAACAATGTAGCATCCGTTGTTACTTGACATCCTCATATCTCTCAGATGCATGCAGCTACATTTATTTTTACCTATTCAACAGTAGTGGAAAGTAACTAATTTACTCAAGTAAGTGCAATTTTGTGGTACCTTACTTGAGTATTTCTATATTCTGCTACTTAATACCTTTACTCCACTACATTTAAGAGATCATCTATCCTATTTGTATTGTCATCTGTCCACAGGATCTCAGGAGAAAGTACGAAAATAAGAGGCAAAGGCAAGGGAAACTATAAGAAAGACAAACTGTAGAGAGAAGAGGAAAACTGTATTTGTGTATGTTCAATATGTAGGCCTGTGTGTGTGAGCATGCATGTGAGCTGAGTGTGGAAAAGAGAAGATGAGGGGTGACAAGGGTCAAAACATGAATGAACAGTTGAAGAGTGAAATTTGAGAGGAGACTGCAGTTTGGTCAGCAAAGCAAGCAAAGACAACATTTCTCTTTGTATCATTTTGATGTCAGAAAGCATCTGTATGTTTTTGGGGATCCCTGAATAACTAAAGGCGTACTTACTTTCTCAAAGTATAAATGATGTAAGTGACAGTGCAGGTTGTTCCTATTTTATTTGAGAACTGAAAAGTAAAAGAAGAAAATAGAAACTGAATATGATTTCCTGGTGATTTCAACATTACATGGAAGTTACAGAAATTAAGACATAAGTGAACAGACAGTGAGATTTATTGTGAAGACATTAAAGACATGATTTAACTTTTTAGATAGTATGCAGGACATACTTGGACTACCAAAGAATTAAAACAAAAATATTTTTTTAAGATTGGATACTAAAATGATTCGCCAACGTAAGCTTAATGTACTGTATTCACTCAGTTATATTTATTTCCTCTCCGTATCCCTTTACTCTTCACATTACCTCAGGGTATGATAGGTAATGTGAAGACCACCAGTCTGATTACAGTGAAGCTGGTCTCCTTTAGACTATCAGACAGCTGGGCCTTTCAGCGAGACCACAGGGATCTTCATCACTGAATCAGTAATTCTCTCCCAGGGCTCCGATGAGAAGAAGGTGGCTGCCGGGTCGCTGGAGCTCCTGAATGTGGCCCAGGGCTCTGGTGAAGGCTGCCAGGTCAGGGCTGACACTCTGCAGAGCTCTCCCTGGAGAACTTTCTATAAGCATTTCCAGTCAAATGTAACTTTATTTTAACAAAATAGTAAAAAGAAAAGGCATGATCACTTCCTCATGACGAGACTCCCCAATAGCCACATTGACTGAAAGAATACACCATCATGGATTGCAACTGTGTACACACGAGGCTAGAGCAGTTGCTATATAATCAAGGTGTCCCTCCAGCTTGCAGACACGCTGCAAAGACGATGTCCAGTCAATGTCACAGTCTCCCTCGTCCTGGAGCCAACACCTCAACTCCTGCCGGTTCAAGTCTGTGAGGATCATTCTGTTGGATTCCTCACAGCCACTCAGCACCTGGTACAGGTTGGGACCTGAACTGATGTCCACCAGCAGCTCGCCACTCACATTACCTGGGAGAAATTGAAAAGAGGAAGAGGAGGTGAGATTGACAGGTCCACAGGTGTTTGCCGCTCAAGAAAAATTGACTCACATGCCAGAAATTTCCCCCTGACCAAAGTGACCTACTGCTTATGTGAGCAGTATCAACCTGCATGCTGGAAATGTAATGTTATGTATAACTGATGGCAGCAGTTGATTCAGCAAAGTGCAAATGTTTCAACTCCAAACTTCTTTAATCACAAAGAATGGATTATGATTTTCAATTATTTTCCTTTCTGATCAAAGCATCCTCTTAGAGGCACTAATAACATCACAGAGTTTCTAACAAACTCTGCCTGAAGACTATAAAATCATATCATAAAATTATATCATTCTGTTCAGACCTGCAACTATAGAGAAGTGAAAATGGTGACAAGATACAAACCTGAGATCACTTAGGGGGATTCTTCCCCACACGAAAATCTAAGTGCGTTTTATGTGCAAATGAAGCCTTTTTGGAACATTTTGAGATTATATAATGAGAAAAATGAGAAAATAACAAATCGGTTTTATTGCATTTTGAGTCTTTAAATGCCCTCTTAGATGCCCCTATGGCAGATAAACTATATTAAAGTGCCCTCTAGGGAGCCCTTCAGTGGAGAAAATGTGATGCAGTGCTATTCTAGTGGAGAAAATGAGATAAAGTTCCCTCTAGTGACATTAAGACACAATATTTGCATGACAGAAAATGGTCCTATCATAGATATTTCTACATCTTTGAAGGGTTTTTGAAAAGAAGCACCCTAACATTTTTCGTGCAATGCTGTCGAAGTTAGCCCTTTGTGGAGTGTAGGTAGGCATCACTGTCACTCTGTCTTCTCACCCTTCATCACTTTTGGACTTTGTATCCCACACCTCAGCCCACCTTCAGTGTGCACACTTCTAAATAAACCCTGACCCCTCTCAGACTTTAGCTGACCTCACACAGCTGCTTGGCTCATTTAATCCCATGATCTGATACAGGATTCTGCAGCAAGTACCTACTGTACTTAATGCTCACTCCTTGAGATGGGACACCGTATAGGCCTGTGGATGTAATCTGATGTAGATAAATCATTTTAACCATGCCCCCACATGTAAACATAATGCTGATGAATATTTCAGTCATGAAATGAACGTTGACATACATATTAAGTTTAAAATGTATTTATTCCATAGTCGCTGAGTCACTACAATGACTGGAACTGTGTTTGTTATTTCAACACGCAATTAATCATGCAGTTTCACACCATATTTCTTCTCAGCGCTGACTGTTTTTCTCGTCAAGGGATCAAGAGCTGTGCAACTAAAAAAAAAAAAAAAAAA